ATTTCCTTTATAGTCAAACATTTATAATGTATTTAACTAAAACATATTTATATTCCATCTGCACATATCTTTTATAAATAAACACACACTTTCACTTTTTCTCTCATTTTAGCCTATTAAATTTTCAACACAATGTTTAATTGCGAATACCTTTAAAAACAGGCAAACGGGTTGTTCAACCTAACAGCATTTATTTTTTTTAAAAACCCACAGGGAGAAAACTTTGAAATGAATTTTAAAGTTTAATTCTTTCAAATAACTTTTGTAATTGTTTTCTATTTGTTATGTTGGTTCTTTGAACATATTGGAAGTATCTTTTGAGTACTGTTTCATAAATTTAGTGAGATTAAAAACCTTTCATGATTATTCTTGATGCAGAGCCACCTTGTGGTAATAAATAATATTAAAATGAAAGTTGTTGAAGACTTCATTCCGAGACATATTCATGCCAATTATAGTCATACAATTAGTGAAGATTTTTTTACTCTAAACTATGTCCAAAAGGATAGCTTGAAGAAAAAAAAACCTCAAAAACAGAAAATTCAAATCTTACCTCATGCATAGTGAGCAAATAATTAAGAATGGCCTGTAGCTCATCTTCCTTTACTCCAGAATCCTTTAAAAGCATATATATATTTCATAAGTTAAAGATATTTTTAAACCGTAGATTATATATACAAATGGAACAAGCTGATCAGTTTATATAAACATTTTAAAAAATTTAGCATCAAATCAAATTTTAAAGTAGACATTTTGAGTTATCAAAAGAAGAATACTATTCTCATGTTTTCAGCACTTGTATGAGTATCTAGTTGTCATGTGACACTGAGTCAAAACTAACTCACAGACGACCCTCTAGCAAGTTTTCAGAGGCAGTAAATCACAAGGGAGGTGACTGCTCAACTTTCTCCTGCAGAGTAGCTGGTGAATTTGAAGTGCGTGCCTTTGGGATTAGAGCTTCATACCACCAGGACACCAGAGCTCCGTAAAGAAGCCCCTTGCAGAGACAATGCTTTCACAATACTGTGACTCAAATACAAACCAATAATGCCAAATCCTGACATAGGCTACAATAACAATTAACAACATCAGGGTAATACTCAAACCTATCTCACTCCTGTATATACAAAAGGCAATTTTTTATTTAAAATTAAACTGAAGATTGAATTAATTTCTAAAATTATGAAGTGAAACTTCTATGTATGTAAACTTGGGGAGAAAAACCTCATCCAAAGCTCAGAATTTTACCAATGATTAATCACAAAAAAAAGCTACAACCCCAAAAAAGGAACAAGATGATAAATATGGCAATAAAATTAGTAGACACGGGAATAAAATACAGAAAAGATAAAACAATTTCAAAGGAAAACAGGTATATGAATCCAAAATGAATACTAAACAGTAGGTCCATTTAGCATAAAATTATGTAACAACAGTATATGCTAAACAAAAAAAGAAATTATATACAAAAATACTAAAGAAAATTCTGCCATTAAATGTTGTTGTTGTTTTCCATAATTTTTGGACTCATGTACTTATAACTTGTTAGTCAAATTTGTGTCTTCTAGGTTGCAACACCCCCATGATACATCTTGAAGGATATGTACATGTACAGCCAAGCACAATCAATAAGAGTGCATCTGAATTCCAAAATCAATCTCCATAATAGTCTATGTGTTTCCTACTGCCAAAGGGGCCCTTTAGAGTAGTGAGAGAAGATCTTCACCCTGAAACCCACAGCGTGCCTTTTCAGCAGGAAGTAGCTAAGAGAATACGCCGTCCCCTTTTCCTTATGACTCAGGGTGAAGTCTCTCTCAGGGAGGAGTGATAGGGAATGGCAAAGGATACACTGACAAAGAAGATTAATCAGAACTGGCTTTGACAAGCACTGTGGCATTTGGACAAGAACAAACTGGGAGGAGGGTAGAGAGAATAGTGCAACAATGAATGAGTGGAAGCCCAAAATCTCTGTAAATGTTTATGAAAATTAATAAAATATAATTATAGGAAAAAAAAATTAAAAAAAAATGTTGTTGTTGTTATGTGCCGTAGAGTCGCTTGCGACTCATAGCGACCCTATGTACAACAGCCCTAAACTCCACTCTGTCCTGCGCCAATCGCACTGTCTCTGATACTCCCATACCGATTATCCTAGTCACTGAATCAATCCACCTCATAGAGGGCCTTCCTTACATATAACTGACCTATAAAGCCAAATTATCTCTTCAAAAATATTACATTTTACATCATTTGTAATAGAATATAAAAAATATGATGGCATAATCATTAAAGAATTCAATGCAAACCAAAAGTTCAGCAGTTCAAATCCACCAACAAGTTGCTTTGTTTTAAAGCAACCCCTGAGAAAGAGGAGGCAATCTGCTTCCATGAGATTTAGAGACGTGGAAATAAGCCCCATGAAGCACAGGGTCTCTATAAGTCAGAAATGACTAGATGCAAGTGGGTTTTAGTTTAAAATAAGAGTACAAAGGGACAATATATAATCATTTTTAAAGGTTGAAAGATCTACATAGTATGTTTATACAGACATAATTTTTCACAAAATCCAAACGTCAGGTGGTGGTTTTTGTTAGGTGCTGTCGAGTTGTAGACGACTCTTAGCGACCCATGAATGAAAGACCTGAGCACTATTCATAGAGTTTCCTGAGGTAAGCCATTTCAGAAGTGGATGCCACTCCTGCTTCCAAGCTTGTTTTAATCAGGAAGCTCCACCAAACACTGTCCACTGTGGGCAACCATTATCACATTTAGCACATCAGTGTCACAGTGTTTAGCATCACAGCAACCACAAGTTACATCTGTACAGCCATGCACAGACCAGTGCTATACCACCTAGAAGAATGTTTGATTGAAAAACAAAGGTTGTTTTATTAGGCACCGTTGAGCATACAACAACTCACAGTAACCCTATGAACAAAGGATCTGAACCTTGCCTATTCTGTGCCTCTTCATCATCTATGATATATACAAGCCCACTGCTACAGTCACTGTGTCAATCCATCTTGTCAAACATCTTCACTGATTCTTCATCTTTCCAAGCATGATGTATTTATCCAATGAATGGCCCCTCCTAAAAACATGCCCAAAGTATGGGAGACAAAGCTTTGCCAGTTTTGCCATCTTTGCCTTTAAGGAGTATGGGGCACCCTGGGTAGACTTTCAATAAGCCATTTCATGGATCCTTTGGTAGTCCATGGGATATTCAGCACTATTAACCAACACTGCAACCAAAAGGCACCATTTTTTTTCACCTTCATACAAGGAGCCCCTTAAAAAGAAATCTCCTTGAGGAGCTTTGTTGGCAGCTCAAGAATAGTTCCCAGTACCTAATAAACTCTCACTCGTCACATGGAGTTAGAACTGACTCAGCTGACTCTCCAACAGGTTTCAGATTACAAAGTGTAGTGGATCTAACCTGCCAAAACACTGGGTTTGGTGTTAGCAGTGCAACTCCCCAAAGACTATATCTCTGCTAAAAGGAGCTAAAAGGAGCTCAGTAAGAAGCTTATTGAAAAAATGAATATACTAGAATTTCAACACAAATTTATATAACACATTATAATTATTCCTCTCCAAATATATAATCATATATTCACTTATGAGTCTAAGAAAACAAACACCTTCCAAAAGATTTCCCCCAAGTGTGATAAAAGCAAATAAACCAAGATTATATTTGATACTGAATTACAAACTACAATACATAGCATACTAGTGATAAGCAATATGGACTCACCTTTGTCACTAACTGTTTAATGAACATCAATAAGAATGCTCGTAATGAAAGTATTTCCTTTTCATTAGGTCGTGGTCCATCTTTAAAAAAAAAAATATATATATATTATTTCAAGTATATAAAAATTCTTTAATATGCTCAATTCTAATAAGTTTTTCATTTATTATAAGAAATATAAAAGTAAAAAAAATAAATATGTAGGTGGGTCTTTGACAGAATGACTTCCCCTTTGTGCCTCTGAACTGACAAGCATTCTATCTTATAAGCAATTAGTTGCACAGGCAATGTTCCAAAGGTTAAAATAGGTTATGCTGAAAATAAAATTAAGACATTTGTTCTTAGAATAAAGTGAAAGGATTTCCAAAACATAAAAGTGAGGTAATACATACAATGTATATTCAAAAATAATATATATTTAGTAAAAGTTTCATGGATAATGCTAGTATTTCAACAGAAGTCAAAAAAGGAAAACTAAAATTTGAACATGGATATTATATGTGAATTGAGTATACAAAGAATGTTTACTTACTGTTAACAGTATGTACACAAATGCAAAACTCCCAAAGCACACCTAACCGCACAATATCATTCATGAAAAAGGAGTCATTTTGTTGACTACCTTTAAAATTTCCTCCTCCTCTGGACAATCCCAGTCACACATGGCTCACATTAAGTCAATTTTCATGTCTCAAACACATAATTGCCTAGTAGAAAGCTTTTGAAACCAAACACCCATTGTTTTAATATCCTAAACGCAGTACCTGTTTGCCTCACATATTCTACAATTTTTCCCCCACTAAACACTATTTACTAGTGATTACTGAGCTAGTTCTCAGACCACCTAGGCATAAGACCACCAGGCCATGAACAGATCAATTAGAATAGGAAGAAAATTGTTTCAAATTTGTTCCACATGACAACTTCTAGACAAAGAATAAGTTACAGAGTTGGAATCCAGCTCTTGTATATGAAGGATGAGACTGGACGACAGTCAGTAGTCAATTCAAAAATCAAGATTAAAAAACACAATGAATGAATGGAAATCCAAAATCTCTGTAAATGCTCATTAAAACTATTAAAAAAAAATAAATAAAACAAAACTAACATCCAAGACAGTATGTGCCCTATCTAGAGCACAATCAAGCGGTCATCAAAAAATTCTGACCTGGTTCTTGTCTGTCACAACAATACCAGGTTCAACAGATCCTATAACTTTGTGTGTCCTACCAGTTTTATAAATTATAAACAGCATGTTCCCTGAATATAAATTTAATCTACTATAAAGTGATATCAAAAGTACTAGAGAAATATGAAATCTTTTCTTTGTAAATCACTGAATAGCCAAAGCATTCAAGTACATTCAGAATGTTATGCTGTTCGACTCCAAAGCATCTAGTTTGACTTCAAACAACAGTTCTCAATTTTTATTGGTATATGATCAACTCAAAAAGGCAATAGGTCACAAAGAGAATCTTGCTGAAAATGCCTCAAGGAAGCAGATCCTCATTAAATTACTTTGAAATTGTGAAGCTGAATTTTGAAATTAGAGCTGCTGCCCACCAACACTAAGGTTGCAAAAATAGCCAACACAAAAGAGGAACAGAAGGCCAAGTCAAATGGGATCCCCTAGCTAAAATCTAAACTCCTATACCAAGTCTGTTTACCATACTGACAGTAAGAAAATATAAGTGCTTACTATCCTTTCTGTAAGTCAATCCTGATAATTAAAGAATTACTGAAATTTTATCATTTTGCCTTTATTAGACACAAATACCCTGTATTTCTCAGCACCAACCTAAGTAGCTAATTAAGAATTTTTTTCTCAAATTCAGCACCTTAAACAAGTACTTTAGCTATATTATCTTCACACCAGCATAAGAACTATTCATCTATAAAAACAGCAAGGTATTAACCACTGTCAGTCACAATGTAGAACAACTTCTTAAAACTAACAGTAATATTAAAATTTTGTTATGAAACAAAAAATATGGCATACAAAATATCTCTGTAAATTAAATAAAACAAGACTGAAAAACAAAATGCTGATTTGTAATCTATACTTTATTAATAGTGGAAGGTGCCAAGAAGGCATCTCTGACCCATTCTGACCCTATGTTTAGCAGAACAAAACCCATCTATATACACAAGGATAACCTACCCAATCCTTTTGGAGTGATACCACTTCGATCCTGAGGATTCACTGCCCAGTAGTAATACTTCAGTGTATGTGTGATGAGAAGAACCGTTCCAACTCTCCGAATAGCATTGTAGATGTTAACCGTACCAATGAATTCCGTGGACAGATAAGTGTAGAGTGTTAACTGGACCTAGAGAAACAAATTGAAGAATATAAATATAAGTAGCCCACTAGCATTCTACTCATGACCTGTGAGCGCTCAAGTTTCCTGAATTTAGAACACATAAGCATTATAGGAAGAGAATGAGCAACTTCAAGATATTATGGACAATCAGAAACAAATAGATTCACATAAAAAAACAAACACTTTTATCAAGAAGAGGAGAAGATAGTGACTACCAATCACAATTGTCTTAAAAAAAAAAACCAAACAACTATGAACTGGCGCAATATCTGGATGAAATTCTGGTAAGATTGATAAAAATTAGTTTAATAAATTTTACTGAGGTCAATCCTTAATTATAATGTAAATCTGTTTGTTAGCACTACATTTAAATTTTTCAGCATTGTATTCATTAACAATTATTTCTAAAATTTGGAAGCAGGAGCGGCAACCACTTCCTAAACAACATGCCTCTGGAAACTCTCTGAACTTTGATAAATGGCGATAGTTATACAAAAGCTTCACGCCTTTTATTCATAGGGTCACTATGAGCCATGCTCGACTCGATGCAATCAACAACACAACAGGCATTATAAACATATCAATGTTACATAATTCATATTAAGCAAAACACACACTTTAGGAAGTCAAACAACAAATTTGCTTTTACACCAGCGTTTTAAATATTCTCATCCATTTTTTCTACAAACTATTTCATGAAATGGAAATAATTCTTTGATTCCTATTTAGCAATCAGCAACTATTTAAGATTATGTGTTTTTTAAAAACTCAATTTACTTCTAAAGTTATATATAGCTGTTAAAATTCTAAAATTTAAATCTTGAAGAAAATGTGAAATTAGGAAAACTCAAAGAAAGTAAAAGTATCTCAAAAGAAAGAAAACACAATCAGAATACTAGAAATTACTTTAACAGATGAAAAAATAGAATTGTCGTAATTGCTCACTTATAAAAAACTCATAAGCTAACATTTTAATTCTAAAGCTTGTCTATAAAATCACATATCTTCTCTTTATAAAGAAAAACAGAGTATTTGTCTCATTTCTAACAACTATCTAAATAAATATATTCATTTATTAGCTTTAAAATACAAACTCTTAAAATTTAAGCCAAAATATCACTAAAGTTACAGCACTAGTATTCACCTAAAACTACACTACATTACTTAGAGCAGTACAAAATAAAGTATATCTTTACTCAATTGTCTTGTCTAAACTAACAATTCTCATTTCCTCAATGTTGTTTCTGTTGTTATGTGAAGTCGAGTTGCCTACGATTAATAGCGACCCTATGTACAACAGCCCTAAACTCCGCTCTGTCCTGTGCCAATCGCACCGTCTCCGACACTCCCATCCCAATTATCCCAGTCACTGAATCAATCCACCTCATAGAGGCCCTTCCTCTCCTGCGCTGTCCCTCCACCCTCCCAAGCATGATGTCCCTCTCCAAGGACCAGTCTCTCCTCACAACATGTCCAAAGTATGTTAGACGGAGCCTCAGAATCCTTGCCTCCAAGGAGCCACCCGGTTTAACCCTTTCCAGGACAAATCTGTTTGTTTTCCTAGCAGTCCATGGTATTCTCAATACTCTTCTCCAGCACCACAGCTCAAAGGCATCAATTCTCCTTCTATCCTCCTTGGTCTTTGTCCAACTCTCTGATGCATAACAAGTGATTGCGAAGACCATAGCCTGTATCAGACGCACCTTAGTCTCCAGAGAGACACCATTGCTCTTCAGTACTTTGTAGAGGTCCCTAACAGCAGACTTTACCATGGCAATGCGCCTTTTAATTTCCTGGCTGCTGGTGCCAAGACTGTTGACTATGGAGCCAAGCAAACTAAAGCTGTGTACGATCTCAATCTCTTTATCATCCATCCTGATGCTGCCAGTTGGTCTAGTGGTGAGAATCTTTGTCTTCTTGACATTGAGCCTCAATCCATATTGTAGGCTGCACAGTCCTTAACACTCTGCAGCAGGCGCTTCGGGTCCTCTTCAGTTTCAGCAAGCAGGGTTGTGTCATCCGCATAATGCAGGTTGTTGATAAATCGTCCACCAATCTTGACCCCACATTTCTCTTCATAGAGCCCCGCCTCCCAGATAATCTGTTCTGCATATAGGTTGAAAAGGTATGGAGATAGGATGCATCCCTGGCATACGCCCTTCCCAATTTTGAACCATGCAGTGTTCCCTTGCTCTGTTCTGACGACTGCCTCCTGGTCCAAGTGTAAGTTTCGCATTAGAACGATCAAGTGTTCTGGGATTCCCATTCTTCTCAGAGTCAGCCATAGTTTATTATGATCTACACAGTCAAATGCCTTTGCATACTCAATGAAACAGATATACATTCCTCTGGTATTCCTGTTTTCAGCCAAGATCCATCTAACATCAGCTACAATATCTCTAGTACCACGGCCCCTTCTAAACCCAGCCTGGACTTCTCTTAGTTCTCTGCTGATGTGCTGTTCCAGTCGTTTTTGGATAATCTTCAGTAAAATCTTGCTTGCATGTGAAATCAGTGAGACTGTTCTGTAGTTTCCACATTCGGTTGGGTCACCTTTCTTTGGGATAGGAACAAATATAGATCTCTTCCAGTCAGTCGGCCAAGTGGTTGTTCGCCAGATTTCTTGGCACAACTTGGTGAGCACGTCCAGGGCAGCATCTGTTAACTAAAATATGTCAATTGGTATACCATCTATCCCTGGAGCCTTTGTTTTTGCCATTTCCTTCAAAGCAGCCTGAACTTCTTCTTTCATCACCATAGGCTCTTGCTCATATGTTGTTTCATGAAATTCTTCTGTGTCTTCCAATTCCTTTCGATACAGTGACTCAGTATACTCCTTCCATCTTCTTTAAATACTTCCTGGATCATTTAACATTCTGCTGAAAGCATCCTTAATTATAGCAACTCGAGGTTTGAATTTGTTCTTCATTTCCCTGAGCTTAAGATATGGGATACCAACTGATGTATTTCAACAGATATTGCCCTGCACGTGCTACCAAGATGTGTCAAGAAATATGGAAGACAACTGCTTGGCCAACTGACTGGAAGAGATCCATATTTATTCCCATTAGAAAAAAAGGTGATCTGACAGAGTTGGAAAATTATCAAACAATATTACCAATATCACACACTAGCAAAATCCTGCTGAAGATTATGCAGAAAAGACTTGAACATACATTGACAGAGAATTACCAGAAATACAGGCTGGGTTTAGAAGAGGTCATATCACTAGGGACATTATTGCCAACGTCAGATGGATTTTGGCAGAAAGCAGAGAGTACCAGAATAATTTCTATTTGTGTTTCATTGACTATGCAAAAGCATTTGACTGTGTGGATCACAATAAATTGTACCTAATCTTGAGGAAAATGGGAATCTCAGAACTCTTGACTGTACTTATACAAAACCTAGATTTGAGAAGTAGTCCTCAGAACGGAGAAAAGAAACACTGTACGGTTCAAAATCAGGAAGAAGCACATCAGGGATGCATCCTTTCCCCATACCTTTTCAATCTGTATGCAGAACAGATCATTCATGAGGCTGTGCTTTATGAGAAGGAGTATGGTATTGAGATTGGAGGAAGATTCATTAACAACCTACGATATGCAGATGACACAACTTTGCTTACTGAAACTGAAGAAGACATGAAGCACTTGCTGCAAAAAATCAAGGATTGTAGTCTTCGATATGGATTTAAACTCAACATCAAGAAGACAAAGATTCTCACCATTGGGCCAATTGGCAGCACCACATTAGATGGAGAAGAGATTGAGGTTGTTAAGCAATTACTGCTTGCTTAGATCTATAATCAAGACTCTTAAAGATGAATTGTACTGGGAAAATCTGCTGTCATGGACTTCTCCAACAACTATATCAGTCTAGATACTAAGGTGAGCCAAATTCAGGCCATAGTCTCCTCAATTAGTTGTTATGCTTCAGAGAGTTGGACAATGACTAAGGATGACAGAAGAAGCGTAGATGCCTTCGAGTTGTGAAGGTGGAGAAGAATCTTGAACATACCATGGACTGCAAAGAAAACAGATAGGTCTGTCTTGGAGATGGTAAACCAAGCCTCTCCTTGGAGGCTAGAATTTTGAAGCTCCACCTCACTTACTTCGAGAACATGGCCAAGAGAGATTGGTCCTTGTAGTAGGACATCATACTTGTAAAGGTGGACGGAAAGTGCAGGAGAGGGAGACCCCGGATGAGATGGGGTAACAGTGTGTCAGAATTAGTGAGACTGGATCAGGACAGGGAGGGGTTCAGAGCTGTTGTACATAGAGTTGCTATACATTGCAGGCAACTCAATGGTACTTAACAACTTATGACAGGTTTGGAAGCAGGAGTGGCATCCACTTCTTAAACAACATGCCTCCATAAACTCTATGAACTTTGATAAATGTCGATAGTTGTAGAGGAGCTTCAGGCCTTTTGTCCAGAGGGTCACTACGAGTCACGCTCAACCCAAAGGCAATCAACAACAACAACAACATTATTTTAATATAGTTCACTCAAATACTCATTCTCACTGCTGGAAAGTTGTTTCGATCCAGAATGACTTTCTACTGGTTTTCAAAGGATGTCAATGTTCCTCCTAAAAAGCAGCTGGTAGATCTACATTGTCAAAGTCATACCCCACAAACTATGCTACCTGAGCTCATTTTGATATGCTGCTGTTGTTGTCATTAGGTGCTGCTGAGTTAAGTACGACTCATAGTAACCCTAAGAACAACAGATATGAACCTTATCTTATCTTGTTCCACCCTCACCATCTGTGACACACTGGAGCCCATTATTCCTGTCACAATGTCAATCCATCTGGTTGAGGGTTTACCTCTCCTACTCCACTCTCCACCTTTCAAAACATGATGTCCCTTGCCAAGGAATAGCCTTTCCTAATGACATGCCTAAAGTATGTGAGACAAAGTTTTATTGTCTTTGCCTCCAAGGAACATCCTGGCAATACTTTCTCCAAGATATATATGTTAGTTCTTTTGGCAGTCCAT